CCGCTTTTCGTAATATGCTCCGATATGGCAACAATAGAGAATTGCGTCTTCAGAAAGTCTCAGCTGACATTGTTAGGAACTATAAATAAATATATATATATATAAATATATATTTATAATCATTTCATAACGATGCGTTGGCTGGCATTACGTAGTTACTTGCGGAGGAATTCCTGTTGGCGCTGCAGCGGAAAGACTGCTAACAACAGAACATAATGAAAAGTCAAAAACTGTCAGTCGCAGACAAACAACAAGGCACATTTATCTCGACACTAATCAACGACTAACGCATGCTCTATAAAGCATATTTGTTGTAACACTATATATATATATAAATATCAAAGTATATTTACGACATTGCATTAGCTGCCCTATTCCAATTTGTATGCAGCCTTCTTCCGACAATGGACAACTTTAAGAAAGCATCGGCTTTCACATCTTACATCTGTATGTAAGCAGGCTTCACTGTACGTATACAAATTTCTTGGCATTTGTGTTCAGGCGCACTGTAGGCCGTAGCCATGGGTGGCCATTTTGTTTGCTTAAAGCTGCTGCTGTAGATGCTGCTGCTAGGCACAGTTGACTATTTCATATACCCTGTAGTCTCAAAGCGGCTAAAGGCTGAGTTGAAGACGGTTTCGTTTTGTAGCTTCAATAATTAGTTCAAGTTCGGGTAGCCTGAACATTAAAGTTACCAGATCAGCTACAAGCCAGAACACTCTGAGCTATTCATAATTCTTATGTGACTTTGAGTAGATACAGCTGGCATCGAAAGAGAAGCTGAACAAGCTTCGAGGATTGGCATAAGACTGCTCTACTGTTACGCTCATCACACTCATAACTCAAGTACAGGGTATCGACACATCGCACACTTGAAACTGGAGCACTTTGCAGCTTTATTTTTAAGAATTTCAACTTTGAATAAAAAAGGAGAAAGCAGCGCTTGAAAAAAAAGATCTGGACACAAAGCGAGGCTCGGCAGCACCGCAGCCCAACCATCAAGCAGCAAAGAGCCAAACAGCCAAACAGCCAACCACCACCCAACACCCACATTGTGCTGTGCGATTTGCATGTGCAATTTATGCTTTTGATGGTCGTCGGCGTTGTCGTCGTCGTCGTCGTCGTCGCCGTCGCAGTGCATGTTAATGAAAGGCAACTGCAGATGCAACACTGCGTCCTCTGCAAACGGCGCAGCGTGGCATGGCCGAGTTGTCATGAGTCACAAAAGCAGCAAGCAGCACCAGCAGCAGCAGCAGCAACAGCAGCAGCAGCAGCAACAGCAGCCAGCCGACAGTAACAGCCACACAGAGCTGTGGATTTTGCTTGGCTGCATGCATATTGGAAATGCGAAAAGTTCAAGGATTGCTGCTCGCCAACGTCGTGAGTTTAGATGCTGTGCAGATTGTGCTGCGCCAGTCATTTGTTGGTATGCTGTTGGCCAGGTAACCCAAAAGAAAACCAACAATAACAACAACAACAACAACAACAGCAGCAACAGAATCAGCAGCAGAAGCATAGCAACAAATGCCACGGCCTAGGGCCAAATGCTATGTGGCACATGAGCGAGCAATGTGCACTACTTAGGTAAGTCTACACACAACCAAAAATACACACACACACACACACACACCCACACGTGCACACGCACATGCATATACACCTTTACAAATACATATTTAAAAGCCAAGGGAGCTGAGTGCTGGGCCACAATAGGAGCCATTGCAACGACGGCACGCGTAAAAAGAATAAGTGAGAAGCGCATAGAAAGCACGCAACTAGCTCATAAGAGTAAATAACGAAAGTTAAAAGGAAATAAAACCTCTAAAATAAGGTTAATTAAAAACTACATTGAAATAAATTAAACTACGCACTGCATATACGAGTCGAGTAGCATTGAGCTAAATTGATCTGATGGCAGCAGCAGAAATCCTTAACAACTATATTACAAATATCTTATAAAAAAGTAGCTCATACTGATTAAGGACTGCTTTTTCTACACGTAGTTGTATTCATAGATATAGTAATCATTCGAGATTCGAATGCAAACAAGAGAATTACGAATAAGTCCCAGTTTTTTCGGTCAGATTTCATTTGTTTTTGAGCGAAGTATTGCAAGCCCACTGTTCATAGAAATAGTAGTGCTGGATGTAAGAAGTTAAAAAAATAAATAGCAAAGGATAATTAAAAATAAAAAAGCAACCACAGCAAGTGTAATTAATTTTGTTATTGTTTAGTAATTGGAATTTATTGGAAGTGCATTATTTGTTATTTCTTTTAGTGGGTAGCCGAAAGCATTGCTCGCCAGAGAAAAGAAGTTTTATTGTATGACCTATATATATATATCCCTTGATTTTGCGTGGTTCAATAATTGAATGAGGTATCCTCAAAGTACTATTAGTAACTATGCTCCATTGTTCCGGCGACCTGTCAGTCAATTAGGAAACTATCGACCTCATCAAATATGTCTACGCAACAGCTAATACCATTGTGTGGATAAATGTAATACGTCGCTGAAACCTAATAATAGTTGTTCGTTCAGTGCACGAGACTTTGATTCGCATTAACGTCAAGTCAATTAACAGTGTTTGATGGGTTTGGCCAATGACCAGGCCAGGCCGAGACCCTGCCACCCCCACGGCGTCGATTGGCTGCGCAAGACTTGTTGCCTTTCACTTGGCGTTCGGCATTTTTGTTGTTGGCTGCCTGATGACAAGCTGCTTGTTGCAAGTTGCTAGTTGCAAGTTGCAAGTTGCAAATGCAACTGGCCATGTTACTGTCGGGCTGGCTGGCAAGCAGTCATTCATCAGGTTACTGCGCTCGGCGCCCGACAGCCATCCAATTAAGCTATAAAAATCTTAATTTAATTATTTGCCACACGAACAAAGCCAGAACATACATTCAACACACACTCACACACACACAGACACACTCGCACTCACACATAAAACATTTGCCATTCACATTTGCAGTCGCAGTCGCCGTCACATTCACATTCGTATTTGATGCAGTGCAGCAATGTCGTCGACAATGGAGCAGGCGACGGAGCCGTATACGACGATTTATGGCGGCCAGTTTTTCTTCATTTGTTGGTGGCACGCGGAACTAGCAGCGGGCAGCCGTGGGGCCAAGCGGCATGCATTTTTCATGAATTAGTTCATATAAAAGTCAAATGCACAAAACGTACGCTGCCAACTTGGCCAGCCAGCCACCAGTGAGCGCGCTGCGAGAGAGGCATCTCGTTTGCTACTGGGAGAATTTCAGACGTTTGCTGCCTGATGCAGGACTTAACCAACCAACCAGCCAACGAACCGACCGACCGTCCGAGGGGCTGCGTCTGTTCTTGTCGCCACATAAACAGATTTGTGACCGCAAAACAAAACATACCCAAAATAAAATGCAAAAAGCCATCAAGCAAAAACTTAACGACCCGCAAGGTACCCTATAGGGGGTTGCATGCTGAATCCAACTGAATATATATAGCTTATATCGCTAACGAGTCCATCAGCATTTCGCATAATAAGATATGACTATATAGAATAGTTTATTAATTTGTAGCTTGGCTAATCACTATTTGAATCGACTAAACAGGGTATTGGGCTTTTCAAATACATTTGTATATATGTGCATGTCAATGTGGCGAATTGAATGGAGTTTCATGTGGAACCCACTCACCTTCTACAACAAATTCCCGCCATGTGTAGTAGGCTTTGGCCTCTGTTCTTGATTCGCAGCATAATTAATGAAATGAAAGCATTTGGCGGCACTTCACTCGTTTTCTGACCCCTCTCTTTGCGCGCTCCCTACACCGTTAGCAGCCATAGCTCCAGTCAAACTGAATTTCACATTCGCTTCAGTCTCTGACGATTGCGCTGGCTTTTTTGTTTCGGCTTGCTGATGTGTCTTGCGGCCTGGCACATAAATTAGATGTATGAGGCCGAAGCTGGCAGATAATACGCCCGATTATGCGAAAGCGTGCCGACCTACGGCCTCATGGCCAACCGAATCAAAATCAAAATCAAAGGCAACGGCAACGGCAACGGCAACGGCAACAGTTTCCATGAGAGAAATGCAGTCGAAAGCTTCTTAGGGGGCGGCTCACCCTCCGCTCTAAGCTCAGTCAGAAGGATAAAACGACTCGTTTCATCTTGCTATTGTTGTTGTTCCTTTGGTAGCTGCTGGCCATTTCTCTTGATACCAAAACAGCAACATCAAGAAAGAACGTTTTTCTTTTCGGCACAACAAAGATTAAATACCCTCAGAGATCTAAGTCTTAGCAGTGTTACAAGCTTAAGTCGGCATCGATAAAGCTTTGCAGATGTGTTAAAAAAAAACATGAAGTAAAAATGCATATATTCAATGAATTTATGCCTATTTTCCCTATCACTTATCCGAATCCAAGCTGCTATATAACTGCCAACTGTGCTGCTCGTGCGTTACATATCTCCTGATGAAATTGTGAAACTCTCGCTTCGAGGTTAAACGTAAGAAATGTACTGGACATTTCGGACATTTGAGAGAGGGCTGCGGACTGGGCTTACTTGGCTTAACGTCCTGACAAAATGACCAAAGGAAAAGAACAAAACAACAGCAACAACAACAATTGGCACGGCACATTGAACAGGTTAAAAATATAAAAAGTGCACAGGCTTCCATGTGTATGAGTGTGTGTGTCTGTATGTCTATGTTGTTACACTTATTGAACGCTGAAGCTGGCAAGCAACAAAAGGAACCGTAATTTATTTTCTATAGAAAAATTTAAGGGCAGAAGAAAACGTGAAAACAAGCTAAGCAAATTAAATGGCAATAGATTGGAAATGGTGAAACGAAAAAAGCCAAACAAATACCAAGGAAAATCTCAAAACTGGTTAGGCAAAATTTGGCGTAAACTTCGCTTTAAAAATATATATAAGAAAAAATTTAAATAAATTTGATTTGCAAACAGTTTTTCAATACTTGGATTTTTTGATTGATTGGAAAAGAAATACAAATTATTTAGTTACCTCACAAACGAATTTCACGGACGTCAATTGCTTGTCAAGGACTTCTTAAGCTGATTTATTGTTATTGCCGCGTTTGCTGTAGTTTCTGCAAAGAGAGTTCAAAGAGCAAAGAATTAAAATTAAGATTTTTCTTTTGTTCGGGTTGTTCGCAGTGATTCAGATGAAATTAGATAAATGATCAATGTGATCAAGCAATTTTTTCTGCAACACATTACAGAGCTAGTGGGGCACACGAACAGGCTGGCCTGCCAGGCCTTCTTTAGTCTGTGACAAACCATTTAGCAAACCCATTAGACCCTGAATTTCCATTGCAATGAGATCAGGCTACGAAAATATGGCCTAGAGTCGCCTTTCGGCTTCAGATTTAGCTGTAAGCTCATTACTTTTATTTGGCCTTTGCGGTGGCTTCTGGGAAGCTGCTGCTGCCACACTTCAAGTGTGCGACTCTTAAAAATTGATAAAAAAGCAAGACAGCCAAAGAAGAGAACACAGCCACACGCATACTCACACACACACGCACACAAAGACTCGCACACACACTGTCACAGTAAGTCTTACAATCGGCTATTCGTATGCAAAAAGCCAAAGTCAAGTGGCAACAGGCCACCGAGGCCGGGGCTTAGCCCAGTTCCAATCCCAGTCCAAATCCCCAGAGCTGGCCCACAGCTTTGGTTTGCAACAGACTGTCTGCCCGAGTCAGGCCCAAAGCCAGCTTGAATTGCCTGCTAGCCGCTTGCCAGGTGAGAAAACAGAAATGCGGTTCAAGGTTTTTTGGGTGTGTACGGGCGGGTGTGTGTTGTGAGTGTGTGTTTTGGGGCCACAAGCTACGGGCGCAAAAGTGAAAGTGAATTATTAAAAACAATTGCAATTGGCGCTGATAAGTGCACTCACTGGCGCGCCAAAGGGGTAGCAGGAGGCGGCAGCCGTGTTGTTGTCGCGGTGGCAGGCGGCAACCAACCAGGCCACGCTCGAGTGCTCATTGTGTTTGTCGCCAATGCATGCCACACACACAAATACTTGTCATAAACAAAAGCTACAGTTATAAAAAATGTATAAAAAAGCAGAAAAAACTGGCACAAGCCGCATGCCGAATGTCAATAACTGGACTTATTAAAGGCCGATATCAGCTGGTATCGATTGAGCGGCTGCTTAAGGAAGCAAGGTGTAGTTCATAGCTAAAATTAATATTTGATGTGGAAATCTTCGTCAATTGTTTCCATTCATTATTACTTTAATATTACAGTAAAGTTTGACACTTCGACTCAACTAAATATATTTGAAGCTACTCCAATTATTTATCATTCCAAGTTTTACTTCTCAGCCATTATCAAATGGCATTAGACTGAAGCAAAGACAAATAATTATTAATTTAATAACTTATTCTGTGTATCTGTGAAATGCTTTAGTTAAAGGCAAAAGGACACATGGAGTAAATTCTTGATTGCAAACATTTGCCGAATCCATATAGTCCTGTCTGCCTATCTAGTTCTATATTTATATACTGATTTTGTAGCCTATACGAATTATATTGAGGAATTTACAATAATTCTCGATGGCAATAAATGTAAATTATTATCTAAATATGTTGAATAGAAGGCGAAGGTGTTGCAATTCACTCATGTTCATCATTCGACCATTTAGCTCACTCAACTGAGTTCAGCATAGATCGCTGTTAACTTCAACTTTTCCATGCTCACGATAAAACCAAATCTATTCGAAAAGTTAATGTGCTTTGTTTATGCGAGCACATGTGAAGCGTGTTTACCGAATTTGCCTTTGGTTTATTGTACATTAAATACAATTTTGACAAGATACAAATTCATTTAAAGTAAAATTTAATAGTTGCAAACAAATATATAATATTAATAGATGTTGAAAATGTCATCGAAATCCATTAAATAACAGCGTTTGCCCTCAGGCAGCAATCACCGGCATACAATGAAAGGCATGCATAATTTTTGGAATTGTATAAATAAAATTGCAATTGTGATCGATTACAGTTGCAGCAGTGTGTCAATTGCAACTTTTTGGGCGTGCAGGCTAGAATGCTGGGCTGAGGTTCAGAATGAGGCCACCTCGGCAACTAATATAACTTTTAAACTAATTAAAAAGACAGTTCTAGTTATACAAATCACAGCTGATATAGAACGGCACCAGTAGTAGCAAGCGAATCGTATTCAACCCTACGCATATTGGTTTAGAGTTAAAGACATTCCAAGGACTGTGCACAGAGCATGTCCTGGCAGTTGACCCTATTCAATATTACATAGATTTTTACGATATGCGCTGCAGACAAATAACTGAAATGGACTCTTAACATATTCATTTGGTCGAGTTGTCATTTATTGATTTGTTTCTTAAGCAAATGCTTCAAGCATGTCAGCAGCACAGACATATATGCGTGCGTACATATGTTTTGTTTATTGTGGCTCGAAAGTATCAAAGAAATTAAAATAAATTCGCATTTTGAGCAAGCCCTCAAGTTCTTTATGCGCCATGCATTCTTTTGCTTTTGTTGGCCAACCGAGTTGAACGATTTTGCTTTTGATTAATGTCTGTGCCAAGTGCAGCTGTAGCTCAGCTCAGCTCAGTTCAGCTCAGTTCAGCCCAGTTCAGCAGAGCCATACCCAAAGATGCCGTCCCGTTCCAAAAATCCTGCTAACCATTACAATATGCATGCCCAGCCCAAGCCCCTAGATTGTGGGCCCAGTTATCCGTTTCAGCTGCTCAAATGCACGCAAATGTCAGTCAGGCTGCAGACTGTAAATTGCTCGAATGGGACGGATGCTCTGCGCCAGTGGTTGTTCGGTGATGTCGAGTGTTGACTGTGGCTCGGCTCTCGACATTGCTCATACGCAGCGTTTGCCTCAAGCCAAATGAAGTTACTTGCGGTTGCTGATAGTTTTTAAACAGTTTTTTTTTGTATTGCTGCTGCTGCTACTACTGTTGCTGTTGCTGCTATTACTGCTACTGCCAGGCAACGTTTTTGTGTACATATGTGTGCGAGAGAGACTTGATTTATGTCGCTTTATTTCATTTTAATTGAAAAACTTGCAAACTGAGCGACCAAAGCCAAGTGGAATTTACGCCCAGCCAACGCACAAAAGAACAAATATAATTAAAATGGCATTTAAAATGTTTTCGGCTACTGACAGCAGCAGCAGCAGCAGCAACAAGAGCAACAATAGCAACAGCAAAAGCAAATATGCAAGCACCAAATATATGTAATGGCATAAAAAAGTAAATAAATTACTAAACAAAAGCACAAATGTAAATAAAATGACTTTATTAAAAAGCTGGGCGCACCAACAACAACAGCAACATCAGAGACAAAGAGAGAGAGAGAGAGAGAGAGCGCGCGCAAGCGAGTGTAAAAGAAAAGGATAGGCGTTTTTATAAACTTTCAGTGTGCAAATAATAGAGACATTCGCCAGCCCCATGGCTATGGCTATGGCTGGGCGTAGTAGGTAAAAAGTAAATCTGTCTGGCAGTGCAGCAGCAGCGGCAGCCAACCCACTGTAAAGGCCACAACATGCTCCCAGTGCTGCCCTGTCCCGCTCACTCCCTAACTCCATCTCTGTCCCTCCTTAGTCGTCTAGCCGACCTTTTTGTATATGACAAATGCAAATGTCGCAGCTGGATTTGGCAACTTTAGACATGGTCGCGGCGGAATAAAAAATATTTTTAAAAATTTATCAAATAAACCCATGCAAAATTTGTATGCACAGTGGTACGAAGGCAGCAGTCGGCAGTCAGCAGTCAATTCGCGAGCTGTCGATGTGACGCAACTGCAAACATCAAAAATTGAATGCAAAAATTGAAACAAATGCGACGCAGCCAGCCACATTTTTGTTTCTCTCATTTTTTATAACCAGTCGATGGCAGCGTTGCCAGACTGTTCCACATCTGCAGTTTTTACTTTCAATAAATTTGTAAGCACTTTGTAAACGCATGGAACTGTTGCATGCATGGGCTATACCCTGTAAATGGCATAGTTCAGACGTGATCGTAGCATGCAAGATGTGCTTAAGAATCAATTTTGTTTGATTTTTTAATAAAAAGCAGCAATCTATTAAGAGACCTCTGGAACTGCAAGTCTTTATAGAATTTTTAGAGAGCTTTGTAGTTCTGTATAGCAGAATAGAAGGACAAGTGGACTGACAAAGCTGGGCTATAATGCCTGAGCAATCATGTGATAGCCTGGTACACTTTTGAAAGCAATGTTGATGGGCACAGGGTATGCATACAAGAAAAAGAGAAAAAATGCCGCCAACAATGTAAATCATGCAACCAGCATAAAATGGCAACAGCAACAAGCCAAACAACCAGCACGAAAAACGCCAACGCAAAACGGTAACAACAGACAGCAGCAGCAGCAGCAGCAGCAGCAACAACAACAGCAAGCAATAGCAATAACAATGCTAACAAAAAAGTGAAATTAAATAACAATAACAAGGTTAGCTGTGTTTTTATGTTGCTTCTGGTAGTACTACTGCTGCTGCTGTCGTTGCGATAACGTCGCCAATATGTGATGTTTGCCCAGCGAGTGCAACAGCAACAACAACAACGAGAGCAAGAAAATGGTTCGAATATGCAGCCGCAAATTGAGTGTTTTTATTGCATTAACATAAACAAATTAGAATGCCAACGCGCGCGCGCTCTTGCTGCTGACTCACTAGTTGGACAGCAGCAGCAGCAACAGCAACAGCACAACAACAGCATGCAAAAGTTGGCCCGACAGCAGTAACTGTAATAGCAGCTGACATAAGTTGGCCGTCGAGACGGTCTGTGTAGGTGCACATCTCTCTCTGTCTCTCTCTCGCTCCGTGTAGTTTTCTCTTTGCTCCTACTCGCTCAGTTAACTCCCACACTTCACATGGCAAATGCAGCAACTGCTGCAAGTTGCGATGTCAGCGACATTTCGCATATTGTTGCCAACGCCTGCAACAACAATTTGTTGCCGTTGCAGCACGTCTGTTGCATGTCCTTCGTAGCAATATAGCAAAGAGCACGTTGCCACGTGCGACAATCAACTGGTTCGTTGGCAAATCATAAGCAAATGCTATATGTTAACCGTTAGCCTAA